TCATTACTGCAGATGTTTATCCAGTCATTACTGCAGATGTTTATCCAATCATTACTGCAATGTTTATCCAGTCACTACTGCAGATGTTTATCCAGTCATTACTGCAATGTTTATCCAGTCATTACTGCAGATGTTTATCCAATCATTACTGCAGATGTTTATCCAGTCATTACTGCAGATGTTTATCCAGTCATTACTGCAGATGTTTATCCAATCATTACTGCAGATGTTTATCCAATCATTACTGCAGATGTTTATCCAGTCATTACTGCAGATGTTTATCCAGTCATTACTGCAGATGTTTATCCAGTCATTACTGCAGATGTTTATCCAGTCATTACTGCAGATGTTTATCCAGTCATTACTGCAGATGTTTATCCAGTCACTACTACAGATGTTTATCTGAGAGTTTCACTACAACGCTGCAGCCACTCGTGAGATATTTTGCTAAACGGTAGGGTTGAATGTGACAGTTGTTTTTAAAAACAGCAGCACGTGTCCAACGTCTCTTCATCTGTCTGAGGCGCGGGCTTTTGTTTGCTCAAGTCTTGCTGTGGCGGCCATCTTGAATAGGAAGATGTCCAGCTGTGTCAAGCTCCGCCCACTGATTCATATTTTGCTAACAGGCGGACAGACGCGTCACAAGCACGATGCCCCAGTGATAAGCTGTGACGTGTGGCTCAACGGCAGCAGCTGCTTCAATCTTAATCTAAAATAATCTAAGACAACAGAACCTGTTTTCTTTTGATTGCTAAACAAAAGAAACGAGATTCACGGGTAACGTCCGGGTAAAGTTCCGGCTGGTGTGGAGGAAGCAGCGTGGAATGATTTGATCGAGATCACGTTAAGCAGCTGCTCGACGTGACTGCTGAACAGCTGCTGCTGGTCCCAGTATGTTATGGGTAAACTGGAGCAGGTCCGGTGTCCTTACGGCTAACATGTAGCTTCTAAGAAGCCGAGCGGACTCCACAGCAACAACTATTATAAAAACAGCTCACGATGAAAACATGTAGGTCCAAGCCGCGCAATGGCCGCAGCACAGCCGGATGTTTACATGACGGTAGCGGCGCATGAACACGACTCCGCCGCCGTGAAGTCGCGTTCAAAGACCGTCTGAATTCACGCCTTTACGGTAAATCATGAAGAAACGTTTCACTCACAAAACTCCGCGACGTAAAAAGAGACGACATAATTGTCCTCACACCAGTCCAGCGTCGAGGTCGGCCGGCCCCAGAGCCCCTGCCTGTCTGCGGAGGGAGCCATGATGCGAAGAGGAGGGAGCGGCGAGCGCTAACGGATTTGTAGTCCCATCACACGAGCCCTCCTCCTCGCGCCGGTCGAGGGACACGACACCCGATTCACTTGAACTCTAGTGACCCCAGCCTTCAGCTGCGGCTGCACAGGAAACCTGTCAGACCGTGTCCAGCTGTAATGTAGCATTTATTACAAGACGTGTAGAAACTAGGGCTCAGGTCCGGCATCAGATTAAATAAGACTCATAACAGCAGGGCCACCCGCCTCCATGGGGCCCCCTATTTCTGCTAATAATCTAGATTACTGCAATCAACAGTCAGACCCACCTAACATAAACTATTATATAATATAGTATTGATAAAACAACCTATTAACAAACTGGTAAAATAGAACTGTCTCTGCATTCAATGACCTCTTCTGCAAAAAAAATATATATATTTATATTAGATGAATTTGGCATTATAAACATAAAAACTGATTTGAATGATTGATAAAGTAATATTGAAGCGCACAGCTGTTATCTTGACGTTCTGTCTCTGGGCTTCTACGGTGTGTAGAGCCACAGAGATGGTTGTGGTGGGACGGATGTGGCCCACGGGCCTTGAGTTTGACACACGTGATCTAGTGCTACTAAAAGTAATAAAATATAAACAACAACCAAAATATGTGTGCAGTTTAGCTAACAGACTTTGGAACAGGTACATTTTGTCCTTGTCAAACCTGCTGAAGAGAAACAAACTAAATACTCTGAAACTCTAAGAACTTACTCCATGAAATTACAAATAACTTTGCAACATATATCCCTACATGGAGTGAAAGGACGGGTACCGTAATGATCGGTGTATAAACTGATACTTTGTCTCACTTTGTACCGTGTGTTTGTACCCCGGACTGAAAGCTAACGGGAGCAGACAGGAGCGGGACCGACCAATAACCAAAAATTAAAATGAAACAAACAAACAAACAAAACAAAAAAACAAGGGTGCAGCTATTTTGTAGTTTTCTTTCAGTAAGCCTTCACGTTAACACAAGTCAAAAGGACTACATTTCCCAGGAGTCCAGTGTTCGAGCCGTAGCTTTTCACCATGAGGGGGAGGAGCAGCGAGGGGGAGGAGCAGCGAGCGAGGGGGAGGAGCAGCGAGCGAAGTGGTACAGAGTAACTGAAAACAGTTTGCAAGGTAAGAAGTAACTGTCTGTCTATTAAAGTCACAGAAGAGGCAGGAAAGTGTCAAATAACCTGAACTTCATGAGAGTTGTGTTGGTGCTGTGCTGATTTAAACTTTAGTCTCAGCTGTGAGGAGTCGGACTTTGTTTACCGTCAGTAAATAAACTCAAACAGCACATTTTTCTGCACCATGTCCCTTTTAATTTAAAAATGATGCTCTGCTTTGTTACGTGGGTTTTTAGGTTAAAATCTTCATTATCTGTCGCTGTTTGTAATGTAAAAACAACCGAACTCTTCCTGGTTAAAGTGCACGCATTCTCCAGTAAAAATATCCCAGTTTTTATATGAAAGTCTGGTTACATATACATTATAATAACTTATTGTAGGGGGGACATGTTGGTGTGAGGTCTGTGGGTCCTCCCCCATAACTTTTTAAATAAAGTAGCTGCTATTTCCTGCATTCTGGTGTATTTTAACAGGTTTTAAACATCTATGTTTACCTACATAAGTAAATCCTTTATTCAATGACTGTTTTATAAAGCATGGCACAAGAAGTAGCACTAAGCTTTTTGTTTGTCTTTAATTAAATTTAATTGTTCTACCTAACACAGGAAGCTGTTAGCTCTGGAAGCAAACTGTTAAACAGCTTTGGACACAAAGACCCTTGTCCCACACTTCAACAGAGCAGGTAAGATACATAACATCTTGTAATCTCTGCCTGTGAGGCTCATTAAATAATTATAAAATATGATAAGTGAAATAAATAAACATTGAGCTACTGTAATTTATAATTGCAAATGTCACATTTTCTTGACTTAATTTAAATTGTAAATCTCTTGTTTTTGATCAAATATTTTTTTCCAAAAGAAAGACCAACAGATTGTAACTTGTAGTCACTGTGACACTATTTTGACTCGTGCACGTCTTCTTTCACTTTTAGGTTCCACAAGGCTCTGGACTGGTCCAGCTGTGGAGAGATGAGGTGGAACACCAGACCTGCAATGGTCCAGTCTGTAAATGATGCTCTGAAGTCTGGGAAGATGCACGACATCATGCTTCACCCTAACGAGCTCGTTACCTCGACCACATACACTGAACTTCTGGAGGACGTCGTCCAATGTATAATAATTTAAACATTTTTATTTGTTGACTTCTCTGCTTGGTACATTATTTTTATTTGTTTGTTTGTTTAAACAATTTAAAACATGACAGTGATGTCACTGTTTAAAGGAAACAATTGTTCAATAAATTAGTAAAATGCAACTTGTTGTGTTTGGGTTCTTTCATCTAAGGTAGACATGGTGTGACCCATGGACTGGTTTAGATTTTTTTATTTTTACTGGAACTGACCTTCAAAAGAGCCAGAAACAGACTCAGCAGCTGATCCTCCGTAGAAACATTATATAGACTACAGACCATGGATTATTGTTTTATGACATTTAGTGAAGGTTTTTGTTTGGATTAAGGAAATAAATGTCTCCATTTCACCACAGATGAACTGTTCCTGTTGACATATGTTTTGAAATAAAGCTGAACAACACAAAGTAATTTAAACAGGAATGGGTAGAAGATCAAATCAAATTCAATGTATTTCCTAAAAATTTAATGAAAAACAGGAGCAGGAGTCATGTTACCAGGAGTGGGACAGGACATGATTGATTTTTTTACTCTGGACCAGGATTGGGACAGGACAGGAGTGAAAATCCACTCCTGAGTCATCCTCTAGTGGACAGCACGAGGGACAGTGATGTCAAGAGCGACAAGGAGCCAGTGTGTGATAACGTCTTTATGAGCCTCTGCAACAGGCCCTTTTCACATGACGTCAGACAACTTCCGTTCTGACTCGATGCTGTGGATCAGCACTTCCGGGTCTGTTCTCCGTGGGGAGACCTGTCTGGAAACTTCACGGAATTTCATTCCTTCAACCTTTATTTACAGAGGTTATATTACAAGATATAGCACAAGGTAAGGTTAATAAAAACAGTATTTATGTGTTAGTTAGCTGTGGTAACATTATCCATCATTATCAATTTACCATTCTGTAACTGTGTAAGGAAACAGCCTCCGATTGTAAAGTAAGCTAGCTAGCAGCTAACAGGTAGCTAAACTCTACACTGCTGCTGCTGTCAGTGCTGTAACATTAAA